TGGTGATTCTTATTCAAAAAATGTGAGATATTTTCTTTTAAAAAATTGAGATATCCCAACAATAACGAATTTTCAGATTTTTTTCCCATTAATTATTGATGTAAATCAAACAAAAATTGTTATGAGAATGTTATACTAAATATTGATAAACTCCAATCCTCCATGAATTATTTATATTTATGGATTTTGTGTGTAAATATATTGATTTTTTTCGTAAATAATGATGAATTATATTATTTTCTAACATAACTCATAACTTCTTTATGTTATTTTGATAGTTAATATTCTTTAATTGAAATAATATATGACTATTGATTGAAACAATTTATTTTACTGCATATAATCATAGAAAATTAAAAATCTATTAATTACCAAAAATCACGTCCAAAATCTATATCTATTAATATAGAAAAGTGAAACATTTAGCTGAAATAGTATGTAAAATTCCGCCTAAAATTTTCGTTTTCACTAATAATGGATTTTTTTTAAAATTTTCGTAAATTCTCACCAAAAGCACAATTTGATTTTTGAAAAAAATTAGATTTGCAAATCCGGCTAAACATTTATCTATTCATGATTTTTTTGTCCATATTTATCTAACTAAGAAATATTTTTAAAATTTAGAATGAATCCCATATTATGTGAATTGTTGGTAAAAAAAATTTGTCCATATTTATCTAACTACAAATACAAAATGTTTCTAAAGATTGTAAATAATGCCATATTATGCGGATTCTTTCTATTATTTGGCGCACACACAAATGAAAAACGCCAGTTCGGTTTTAGATTAATTATGGACTCATTCTAGGACTCTGTAGAGAACTCCATTTTGGTTTAGCTTAAACCGAATTAATCAACTAATGCACAACACTTTATATAATTAGTTGTATAGTTCTTGAGCAATTGTTGCAGACTTTCATGGTTATTTTCTTATCATAGAGACTAATTACCATAGAATGTGATTGTTAAAATATATCCAATCCAAAAAATATTTATTTCAAATTAATAATTCAATCCTACATTAGATTTAAATTATATGATCGATTAATATGAAAACTCTCTTATTATGTTTAATTTATTTATCGTCAAACCAAATATTGAGTATATTCAAGAATTGGAAAGATTATATCGAAAAAACAAATAAAATTAATTCCTAAGAGTTAACTTTTCAATTAGAATGTTTTCAAACTATAACACTGTCTTACAATTTTGGTGTTTTTAAACATATTTCCAATAATAGTTTTAAATGGACTGTGTAAATCACACGGTCAATTGAGCGTTCATATTTATCTAACTACAACACTTTTTACAGTCTGGAAAGAATCCAAATTCATATGGACAGTTTATTTTAGCGCAAATTTTGAAAAATCAATCGAGTGAAATTTTGTTAACTTTTCCAGAAAATCACACGGCAAAATTGGTTTTCAAAATTTATCTAATTATAACACCTTTTTAAATTTGACTTATTTTTATTATTTATTGTACATTAACAATAGTAAATAAATTAATTTAATTAAAAAAATCAAACGCAATATTTTGAGCTAATATCGTCTATCATAAAATTGATACTGTAATTGGAATTCTTCTATCATAAAACTCACCTATAATACTGTCTAATTACTAATATTTTAGGCTGTAATACATATTATTTATTCATATTATATTTTAGATACTCTTAATTATGTTGTTTGGACAAATTTAATACACATATAAATATTTTTCTTCCAAAATAGTGTAGAAAAAATTTAAGTGACTTCATGCATTCAAGAATAATATATAATATTTTAGGTATCTTTACATATGTTATATAATATTTTAGGTATTTTTAATATTTAAGCATACATGTTTTATATGTTATTTTACACAAGTTAATTTATATGTCTCGCTTTCGACAAACTGAAATTATATCAATTTAGTGACAATTTTATTTTGAAATTTTTTCAAATAATCCTACTTTTATTTGGGTTTGAAATTTATAAATTCAAATTATTTTTATCTAATCACATGGTTAAACAGATTGACCGTAAACAAGAGTCAGACCAATCCTTATCTCATGTCGTCTTATTCCTGAAGAAAGTCGTTTTAGTCATGACAAATGATATGTTGGTGCCTTCCGTGTTACTAACTCAAATATTTAAAAATTTTAATTTGTGTATATGGAATTGTTTAATAATATATTATTATTCATACTTTGTATTCCTTTTTTCGCCATAATAAAATGTTTAATTTTCAATAATTATATTCATAATAATGTTTTAAAAAGGTTTTGAAGAACAATCTCACCGTGCATGGCACGAGTTGCTCACTAGTTTTTTGAAAAATAAAAATAAAAAGATGCTTTCCGAAAATTCTATTAAGGCTATGTTTGTTTTGATTAATTTGAAATCCCTTGATTTTAAAATTTTTAAAATATAAATTTTTACTTGCATACTCTTTGAATGGATGTATTGAAAATATTATAAATTAATTGTCTAGCTTGCACCGATGATGTTGACTCGCGGTGGTGATGAACCTAAATGATCGCGGACGGCGTGGTCGTCAACGGTGATAAATAGTGGATTTCAAATGACTGGTTTGAGGAGTCATTTAAAATCCTTCAAAATAATGACAAAAAAAATATTTAGCATGAATTTGAAATCCTCTAGCTGTCCATTATCATTCCAATATGCATGTGATTTAAACTTTTAAATTTAAAATTTATAAATTTCAAATCCCACAATAAATCCTCCAATCCAAACGTAGCCTTAAAAGAAAATGACTTTTTCAAAAACAGGTGTTAGATAGAGAATTAATCCTCCAACAGTCCAACTTTCTCGATTACAAAAAGTAAAAAATCTACAAATTACTTGCAGGGATCAAAAGAAATCAATGCTCATTAATGAAACTAACATAAATGACAAGCAGATCAACCCGTTCTTGTTTGTGTAGGGAGAAAAAACAACGATTAGCCGGTGGCTATCAAGCAAAACTTGAGTAAATTTTGCAATCCATATCCCTTATCTTCTTACGAAGCTTCATATGAAGAAAATCTTAATTAAAAACCGGAAATAGTTAATACATATATGCTTGACAAATTAAATAACAGAAGATTAAATTACAAATTAATAGGCTTGCTCCAGCTTCTCAGATCACACACACACACACGAGTTGAAACTTTATTAAATTACTTTTCCTTGTGTGAAATTGATCAAGAATGAGATTAACCCAAGCAGGCCCTAAAACTGCTACAGAGACAAACTCTGCTTTATTTTTGAGTCCCCGCCCAAAATATAAAATATATGGAAAAATGAAACAACAAAAAATCAGAAAACAAAGGAAAAACACACAAACACCATTGATCTTCAGAAACTGTTTATCCATGGTGTTTACGATCCCCGTTGGGCTTCCTAATGAGAGAAACATGGATGCCCGGATCATTATGGCCGCACTTGGCGTTGTAAAGAATGGAATTGTTTATTCCCTGGACATTGCTATTGAAGAAGCCCGTCATCGGCTGAGCTGGCACAGCCGCGTTTTTCCCATTTTTCTCCTTATTCTTGGACTTGTCTTCCCCACCATTCTCCACGCCTGATCCTTGGCCATCACTCGAACTTGCATATTTAGCAAGATTATTACGGGTTTTCTTGTGAGATGGGCTTAATTGCATGATTGCCCCTCTGTTTTCGCCCGCGAGCGTTATGACCCGCATGCCGAGGTCTTCGGAATCAGATACTTTTTTCTTGCTACCATTGCTTGGTTCCGATTTTCCTTTGATTGTATGGGGATTGTTGTTGTGATTTTTCAATTGTTTGCCGATGATCTCTTGGACGAGCACATTTTTCTGCTCGATTCTGGGCTCCGATTCATTCTCACTATCTGTTTTGATCTGTGGTGGGGGGAGGGTTAGAGGGGATGGAGGGTGGGATAAGGGTTTGTTTGTTTTTGGCGATTCGTTATCCGAATCGGGTTTGATAACTTTCGGAGATGGCGATGGAGTTCGTGCTCGCATTTCGGGAGAAAGTACCGATTGTTGAGTTTTTGTGGGAGTTGGTTTTGGGGAGGGAGTCGGGGACTTACTCGGCCTCATTGGGGATGGCTGCTGAGCTGGCGGAAAGCTGGCCGGCAGCAGTGGGTGGGGGTAGGGGTGGGGGTGGTGGAGGCCGCATGGCGAGAGACGATAGGCGGAACCATGCTGGGCGTTGGCTCATTTTTTGGGGAACTAATTTGATGTGAAATGATTTTGTTGAGAGTTATATTGCATATGATGTTGATCGATGTGTAGTTGAGATATATAGGAAAAGAGAGGAGGAGGCTTGAAAAGGAAAAGAAGATGGTAGGAGAGACAAAGCATCAGATTCACCAATTGAGGAAAAAAGGAAAAAGTTGTGTTATGTTCTCTCTACGGTTGGTATCACCTGCTTTTCTGCTTCTTGAAGCCACAGCAGCTCTTCCCCACTCCTCTCTACAGTGTGGTTTATGTAAAAATCATGTTGTTTAGGTTTCCCTCGGGGAATTAGTTGTTTTTTTATTGGGAATGTTATGGAAGTTTTTGTTTTTTAGATACTTTTCTTCTAGACCTATACTAGTCCTTTTCATTTTATTTTATTTTTGTCGAAACGATAGAGTTTTATAATAAGACACATATATACAAACTAGAGTACAATCGGCAACAACCGAAATAAGCAGCTACAAAGCTGAATCAAGATGGAGGATAACCCAAATGGAAGTCTAGACTACCACGAACACAACCACAAATAATAGATACTCCTATAGGTGGAGAATACACAACTCCTAAACAAGAGAATAAACACTCAAAATAGACACAGGAAAATCACATAGCAGCAAACAAAAACTACGACTAGTATAACTAGATACCGCCCTCCCCACCAACCGGACAGCCCCGCCGAACCCCACCACACGTTACACCAAAGTCGCCCACCCAAAAGTCAGAAAGCATGGCTCAAGACTCAAAATTAGAAACTCCAATCAAGCTACGGCTGACTAGCTCATCAATCTCCTCCCACAACAAAATCCGATGACCGCAGCCCCTAAGCACCCCGAGGCGAAGACCGCCATCGTCGGAAGTACCCGCCATCCAAACACCAAGGAGAAGACGAGAATAAGGAAGAGGAGGACGCAAATCAAAGTCCGACCACCGTCAAGACGACGATGATCAATGCCGGCCACAACAGGAGGGTCGGCAAGGCACCACCTGTTGTGAGGACCATTGAGTCCAATATGAGATATGGCTACTGTTAATTCGAATCCCAAAAGCAACGCTTTACGTGCCCATAAATGACTAACTTTAGTTATTTGTATCTCACTCACCGTAAATCAATTTTGAGAAAATAAATATAACACGTGTATTTACTGGAAACGTAAATTTTTAATTTAATTTAGCCATGAAAAAATTAATCAAAATTGGATCAACTCCAATCTTATTTAACTGATTCTCTAATACATAAGGGTGCTAAAGACACGTGAAAGACAAATCTTTCTCTCTTTATTATGTTTCTAATAAGCCCCAGCATGAGATTCACTTCAACTTTTCTTTTGCTTGTTTGGATGTTGATTCTAATTCTCTCTCTCTCTCTCTCCATATTTTACGGGCTGAAAGAGCTTCAAAATGGTTCCAAATTCTCATAAGATTTATTTCACATGTTTAATGTTCTTGGAAGTGTACGAACGATGTATTTTTTGTGAGTCGTCCTTGTGGTGAAATAAAATTCTCTCTAGTGTCAGCTTTGGCATTAATAAAATAAGAACCTTCCCAACATATCATAAAACGAAGTGCAAATGGGCCAAAAAAGGTCATTTGTCCTCCACATTTCCATAAGCTAATTTTTTTAAACACTCTTAAACTATAAAATAGTTATTACTTCAGTGGGAGAATAAATTATTAGAATTTATAAACTGATATGACATAAATATAACTAATAAAAGTGATATACTATAAAAACTACAAAATTTGACCTCTACATTTTTTATAATTAGCAATAAAAAATATATTTGTGAATATATTATAATTAAGAAAATGTATAGAATTAATTCATTTTAAGTTTTTAATTATATCATTTTTTTACTACACAAAAATATAATCCGCATCCAATTGCAACAATAAAAATGTGTTCGATTTGGCATTAAATCGACAAACTCTAAACCTAACTTGGAATTTACGTGGCGTACTGGACTAGAAGTAAAAAAATAAAGTGTTCTTATTTTTATTTTTATTCGTTGAGATTATTTATTCTTAATTTGTTTATTTGTTAGTAGTGAATCAAAGGAATCAAGGAAGAACACTTACCATGTGGAGCAGCCGAACTTGGAAGGAAGAAATCACCATGCAGAATGGACGCGGATACTTGGAAATCTACTTACCATATTGAGTAGCTGCAAGACGTGTGAAGAACTTACCATGTGGGAGTTGACTTGCGATTTAGGCAATAGGTCACAAGTGCAAGTTAGAAGAATTTGGACACGACTATTTTTGTAAAGCACAAAAAGGAAGGAGACTTGCCATTTTGGAAGCGGTATAAACACTCTCTCTCGCAAGTGTTAGATAAGAGTTTTTATTATTATTTGTTGAGAGAGAGTTGTGTGTGGTGTGTGCTCTAACTGTATTTTTAAAGTAAATATATTTTCATTGAAAGAGAAGACAAGAGCCTGTTCTTGATCTTCCTGATCATAAGTGATTTCTGAATATTGAATAAGTGTTTGGGATGGAACAACACAAGGGATTTGTGTTAGAAAATCCGCAAGGAATTTGTGGTCGAAAAAGTAATTGTATAGGTGATTGCATTGTAAGTTTAGAAGAGGGAGTATTCTGTATAATTCCTAAGTGTAGTAGGCCAAACTTCTATATGAATGAAGAGTTCCAAGGGAGAGCGGGATGCTCTCCATAAGGTTCATGTTTTGTATGAACTTGCTTTCGCAATTGTTTGAATGTACAGTTTAAGCGCAATTTTGTTAATCCTTCAAAATTTTAATTTACACTAGAGCGGGTTTTCGTACATATACGCAAAGATCTTGAGGTACTGTTAACGGGCAACCATGTCTAGAACTCCGCAATTAGTTGGCTCGAACTACTCATATTGGAAATCAATGATGACGATCGTCTTGCGATCTCTTGGCAAGGGTGCTTGGGAGAGTGTGGAGAATGGATTGACTTATCCGATCACAAAGGAAGCACCTGATAGTGCGAAAGAGACCACAACTACAACCGTACTTAAGCCAAGTGATCTGTGGTCAAATGCTGAAAAACTGCAAGAAGCGAATTTTCGAGCTCTATACACAATTCTAATGCAGTTGATCAAACACGACATAAGATGATAGTTCAGTGTACAACCGCAAAAGATGCATGGCGAATTATGGATCGCTAGTTCGAAGGTTCCCAACTACACACTGACCAAATTCTCCAGCTTTCGATTTTTATCTTGGTTTTTATGAATTTTTTTACTATGCTTTAATTTGTGCAGAGTCTACATTGCAATTGGTCCTGAGGCTGCGTGGTTAAATTATTGAGATGGCCTTGGCTCGGAAGTATAGCCAGGACTAAATGATCTGCCTCAACTAACAAATTTTTAACCTGTTGATTGAGCTATTTATGAGGATACTTTTGATTGAGCTTAATTGCTTCAACCTGAGATGTTAGCCAATGCCTGAATCGCTAACAATTATTCGGTAATTGTTGTTTCGTAACTGAAAATGTAGGAGAAGATACCTGTGTAGTTTTTCAAAGTCCGTAGTGAATTTTGATTCTGGTTTTACTCTGCATCTTAAACATGGTAGTTCAATTGCTTTAGTATGGAATTTTGGTTTCAGTTTTATGTTATACATGAAAACTTATAGCCTCTTGTGATTTTACTTGAATTATAGATCTCAAACATATTTCACTTCTGTCTACACCAGAGACATGGAATGGAAGTTGTATTATTGCAAATGCACAAACATCTTCCCTCTCCAAACACCATCTCTTTACAATCAGCCTCACATGTTTATACTTTATATCAACACCAAAAATCCCACCATTTCTGATCATGGGAATCAAGATCAGTTTTCCCCCAATCATCAGACGATGTCAGTGGACTCTCCATTCGAGGCTGAGGCTGAGGCTGAGGCTGAGGCTCGACCAATTTCAACATCTCCTCATCGTTCACTTCGTCCTGCAAACCCACGAATTCTGCCCTAGTGCTGACATCATCACCATCCGAAAGCATGCCCACAAATTGTTGGCTACAAATATTGTTGTTGAGCTCCAAATTTGTTTCCTTCTTACAATCCCACTCCCCATCACTTCTGTTTTCTGATTTATCCATTTCATCCTTCACATTCTGTAACTGCTTAAGCAGTGTGATTAAATCCCAGAAAATCAGTATCACTGAATATAACACAATTTGCATAATAATAATAACATGAAACCCGCAAATTCTGTACAGTTCAATATAAGTCCCAAATAAAATGTTTTATTGATTAAAAAAAAAAAGAAAAGGAAAATCCAACTTGAAAAAACAACCTGTACAAGCAAGTACTCCTTCTCTTCCTTCAAGCGCTCAAATTTGGAAGCTAAATCGTTGTAACTAGCCAACAAGACGCTGTAGTCTTTCTGGATCTGCTTCGATTTCCAGCGAGCCCTTTTGTTCTGGAACCAAATGGCGACCTGTCTGGGCCGCAGGCCCAATTCCTTCGCGAGCTGGGCCTTCTTTCTGGGCTCGAGCTTGGTCTCGGACTCAAAGGTGACCTCCAGGGATCGGATTTGTTCGTCACTGAACCTCCGCTTGTTCTTGCTCTTTTTTCTTCTTGATGATGTCGTGTTTATGTCCGCAAAGCAGCACTCTGAAGCGGATGAGTATTCGGACACATCCAACATTTTTTGTCCTTTGTATTTTTTGTTTTGGTTTTATAAGTTGGGAATTCCTAAGAGTGGTGAGTGCTTGGAGTTTTGTTTGGAGTGCTTTTGCTGTGTAATCTTCAGTTTGAAGGTTTGGTAGCATGTTTATATGCATCTTTTGTTTGGATGTGTGGAGTTTTCGTGTCGAGTTTTTCTTCTAATGCCTTGATGACAGCTTTATCCGTTATTATTTAATTAATGGAAGACATTTTGGTCCCACAACCATGAGAAGATGATAGTTTGTGATCAAAAGTAATCTTTTACACAGCGTGAATGGACCTGTAAAAATTATTAAGGTTTTGTTTAAGTGTATTGTATTTTGTATCGTGTGTGTTTGTTTATTTGTGTTCATATATCTATTACAAAACATCGTTCCACTTTATTTTTTCTTTAATAGATTTTGTTTACAAAACGAACGTTTTCTTTAGATATGCATGTATTCTATCTAAAAATTTATATTTTCTTGTCCAAATGGGTCGTAATTCTGTATTTCTGTACATATAATAAAACTTGAAAATTTTGTATCAACTTTTAACATGGGATGCTGAGAATATGTGAATCTTTGGTACGTGTCATTTTCATTCAACTCATAAAAATAAAATAACAATAAATATAACAGTAAAATATACCGAGAGAACAAGTGGATTGGCATCTGTCACCCTCAATAAATAGAATTGAGCCACCTGTTCCATAGTCAAAACCCCAATTTTTGGGTCGGCCGTAGATTAATGACGTGGCATCTGCTATGAACCATACGGGGTTGAGCACGTGTCGTGGGTAGTCAACATCGGTTATGGAAGCTACTTAGGAAATGTAAGGGACACTTGTCTTTGTGAGCTTTTGACTGCTTTATTTATTTATTTATTTTTTTTTTTTCCCGCAACGATAGAATTATATCAAAATAAAACACAAATAAAATACAAACATACAAACTAGAGTTCAAGCATCAGCACACAATAGAAAGAAGAAGCTACATCGCTGAATCTAGCAGGGAGAACTACCGAAAGGTAGCATAAAACCTAAATATCACAACACCACTAAACGTTTCCAAAAGGAGAATAACAAAATAAAATCCCAACAGGAGAATACACTAAGCGCATTACCAACAAGAGAGAAAGAAGAGCCTACGCACAAACACAACACCAAACACCTAAAACGAAAACCAACAACTACACCACCCTTCCGCAGCCAATAGCCAAACCAGGCCAAATTAACGATGACGCCAACAGACACCTATCCAAAGGGTCAAAACTGTCCAAAAAATCGCCTAACTGGGTTGGACGCAAACGGACCCAACCCATGTCCCAACGGACACCCGAGACCCGCACCTGGAGACCCACACCACAAACCACCTATACCAACCGAACAACCTGACTCAGACTCAAGAACTCAACCCACGGCCCAAGTTAGCCGGCCGAACACCTTCGCCCAACACCAGAGATATGAGGGACATGGCGATAGGTGGCGGAACCCTCCACCCCGGACCTCCAAAAGGAAGAACGAGGTCGCAGCCCACCCCGAAGAAGCTCCAGAGGTTTGCCCAACGCCGCAAAAAATGCCGGCATAAACGGTCGCCCTCCACGCCATCCAAGCAGCCAGAGAACAGCGAGACTTAATTTGGGAGTTGGGCACCACTTTGCCTGCGAAAACCCCAACTCTTAGTGGCGCCTCTCCAAGACACGAGCAACGAGGCAAAAGAACGTCCCGCCGGCAACCACGGACGGCCGGCAGGCCACCAGCCAAAACACCACTCGGAACACCCTCCCAGGAGCACCACCCCAAAGCAACCCCCAACACCAAACTGGACGAAGCCAGCCCATCACCGACAGCAATTGACCACCTCTCCATCTGACCTACTGCCACAACACCAGGAAAGCGAGTAGATCCAGGGGAGAAAAAGGCGAAGGACTTCGACCCTCCCAACGACGGTAGCAGCCAGATCTGAAGTCAACAGACTCATTGCACAGAAACCGAAACTCCACCCCATTCCGCCAAAGACGCTCTGAAGAGTAACAACAACGCGCCGAATAAATAAGGGAAGGTGTCTGAACATGAGCCGCACCGACACCCTAGATGAGGGCATCTCCGACTATGGCAGCAGAGGAGCCCAGCGGAAGGGAGGCAGGCACACCGATAGAAAGGTTTTTCTTTTTAAAAATTAATTGTTTCAAATTATAGTAAATTTTAAAATTTTGTTACTTTTTATCTTTTTAATTTAATAAAATGCATGTTTNGCTAGGATTCAATATCTACCCGGGCTATAATTATTTAACGAAATATACACACATATATATATATATACACACACACACACATGTATATATATATAGGGGATGGATCCAATGAGTCCACCTCTTAAAATGTGGACGTGAGACTCAATCTTAGCCACTCATTTTGTCTAGATCAAGAATTTATGTTAATCAATTAAAATATATTAATTAAATAATAAAAATAATTAGTAGTTGACCCCGGCATTGACTGTTGACTCCAGCGTTGACTGTTGACTTCCGGCGAGAATCGTTGACTTTCGGCGTTGACCGTTGACTTCCAGCGTCGACCCGTTGACCTTGGTATGCATCATGTATGAAAGAATAATTAAAGACAACTAACCTAGCAACAACAGACAACTAACCTAGCAACATCAGACAACTAACCTTGCAACTACATTTAACTGACCTAGCAACTACATTTGACTAACCTAGCAACAACAGAAATCTAACCTATCAACAACAGACAACTAACCTAGCAACTACTTAGAACTAACATAGCAACAAGATAGAACTAACCTAGCAACAACAGACAACTAACCTAGCAACTAGACATAACCAACCTAGCAACAAGATAGAAATAACCTACCAACAACAGACAACTAACCTAGCAACTACAGAGAACTAACCTAGCAACTAGAGAGAACTAACCTAGCAACTACAGAGAACTAACCTAGCAACTAGAGAGAACTAATCTAGCAACTACAGAGAACTAACCTAACAACTACAGAGAGATCGGCTTGGGAGCAGATCAGGCTGAGAGATCGGCCTAATCTTCTCTTTGGGGCCATCTGGAGCGACCTCTTCACCCCTACCATTTCGGTGTTCCTTTGGCGCCTTCTCTTGCGCCGGATACCCGTGGATACTGTGTTGCACGCGAGGAGGATCGCCTTTCCCTCTTGGTGTTTGTGTTGTTCTGAGACTGCACGCCATGAGACCGAGACCTTTACCTACCTTTTTCAAGAGAGTGAGATTGTGAGGAGAGTGTGGGAGCATTTTGCCACTTGGACCCATAATCCCTACCCACCACAGCCAGTTTTTTTGAGCTCCTGAGTTTTTTCTCATAGAGCACACCTTAGACACGTGGGCTTCCTCATTTCTTGTCTGATCCTTTGGTTCACGTGGACGGAGAGGAATAGTGCAAAGTATAGAGATATTACTTTTTTGTTTTCTCACGTTGTTTTGCAGGTAGAGAGACATCTTTCGCTCCTCATAGCATTAGGCAGGCTCACGGCACGAGACTGGGCAGACTGCACGCCACCACACCGCTACATGGTGGCTTCCCACCGCTTGTTCGGCCTATTGAAGACCATGCACACATGGAAAGAGACCAAAAGTTGTTGTTGCATGAGAACAAAACATCCTACATGGCAAAAGATGATGTAGGGACAAGCTAAGGGGTAAATATACGATAGAGCAACCCTAACTCCAAGAAACACGTGTATAGGAAAGTGTAGAGTGTTGTTACTTAGCCACAGCAATGACAAATATATATGGATCATCAATGTAACAGGAAAAAAAAAGGGTGAAGAAGAAACCCTACCTTTTCAGTGAAAGTTTTGAGCTTTGTGTTCTTGTTTGTTTCTTGCATTAATGTTGCACATGATGTTTTCCTTTTATGGTATCAGAGCTGGTTGAAAAGCCAGTCTCTGATCCATCTCCTTCCATCGATTTGATTTCCCTTTTCTCAAATCCATGGCTCTCATTACATCTCAAGCTGATCCAACAATACAGGTGCAAAGTAACCTTATCACTATTAAGCTCAATGACAACAATTATTTGCTTTGGGAACAGCAAATCCTAACATCCATCAGAGGTTATGGGTTGTATGGATACCTCACAGGAGAAACACCCACACCAGACAAGATAATCACAGATCCAGCCACAAATGAGCCATCATTGAACAAAGCTTTCTTGACCTGGGTGAAGCAGGATCAGCTCATTGCATCATGGCTATTATCTTCCTTGTCTGAAAATGTTCTTATATCTACTGTTGGCCTCAATATCTCGAAGGAGATCTGGGAAACTCTCAAAGCAAGCTTTGCAAGCCACAGTCTTGCCAAACAAATGCAACTCAAGCTTGAGTTACAGACTCTCAAGAAAGGCAGTACCAAGATGAGGGAGTATTTTAACAAAATCAAAGGCATATGTGACCTCCTTGCTGCAGCAGGCCAAAGGCTATCTGAAAATGACCAGCTGCTGCACCTCTTAGCTGGCCTTGGCTCAGAGTACAACCCAATAGTGGTTAGCCTTACATTGAGATCTCAGCCTTGCTCTATGATGGAAGCATATTCCTTCCTATTAAGCTTTGGAAGCAGACTAGAGAGCACTGGAAACTCAAATGAAGGAGATGGATCTTTCCTAGCTGCCAATCTTGCTACACATGTAGCTAACAGAGGAGGAAGAGGATTTGCAACCTCAAGAGGTAGATCTGATGGAAGTTTTCACTCCAACAGAGGCAAAAGCAATGGAAGAGGAAGAGGTAGAGCAGGCAGAGGCTTCAATGCTCAAAACAAACCCAGATGCCAGATTTGCAACTATAACAATCATACCGCAGATAAGTGTTATTACCGGTTTGATATGAACTTCACCTCAAGGCCTCAAAACAATGGTGGCAGTTTTCAAAACAACCAAGAGCAGCATAGCAGTGGACATCTTTCAGCTAATGTGGCCAGTCTAGGGACTCAATCCAATGATGGAAATCAGGAAGTGCTTTGGTTCCGTGACTCTAGGGCAACACACCACCTTACCAATGAAATGAGCAGCCTCAACATAGCCACAGACTACCAAGGACATGAAAGGATTCAAACAGCTAATGGATCAGGTATGATCATTACTCACACTGGTAAAGCTATGATGACAAGTCCTAATTCCTCTAACTCAAACATATTCCTTCTTAACAATCTGATGCTTGTTCCTCAAATCACCAAAAACTTACTTAGTGTATCCCAATTTGCTAAGGATAACATGGTATATTTTGAATTTCATCCATCTTTGTGCTTGGTGAAGGATCTCAAGACAGGAGCGGTTTTACTCCAAGGAACCCTTAGAGATGGATTGTACTGTTTCCAGCTCACCAACTTTCAAGATAATCATGCTAAGCCTAGTTGTCCTTCTCCTTCAAGTTGTTTTCCTTACCTTCAATCAATGTGCAATGCAGCAGTCCTGGAATCATCTCAGACCTTAGAGCTGTGGCACAATAGATTAGGGCATGCATCTTTCAAGATTGTAAAAGCTGCTTTGCAGCAATGTAATGTCCCTTTTCTAGATAATAAAAGACCTCTATTTTGCAATGTTTGTATGCAATCTAAGTTTCATAAATTACCTTTCTTACCTTCCACTGCACACAACTATAAACCTTTTGATGTCATCCACTCTGACCTTTGGGGACCTGCTCCCATCACCTCTCACAAAGGCTTTAAATACTATGTTAGCTTCATTGATGAGTGCACTCGTTTTGTTTGGATCTACCTTCTAAAGAACAAGTCAGACACTAAGCAGGCTTTCATTCATTTTCTTGCTCTCATTAAAAACCAATATCGTTTTATATTAGATTGGATTGAAAAACAACGTGGTGAAATGTCGTTGATGCATCCAAGTAGTGTAAAGAATTTAGTGTCGCAACGCACTACACCAAATCCATCTCAAAATAAAAATATTGAAGCTATTCGTGACCCGATTTTATCCAAAAGAAAAGGTGCTCCGAGAAAACTGAGACGAAAAAGCCCGCTGGAGTCACGATCACATAAAGTAAAGGTAACACTCTCTTTGTTTTTTTATTAATGTTTATGCAATTATATGAACATATTTTTCTTTGCTTTATTGCTTCTTGTACATTTATTAGCAAAACTTACAAGTTATTAAAGAATTATAATTCTTTGTAGGTTGCATCTGCATCAAGAGGAAAGAGCCTGGGGAAAATTTATTCTGACTTGCAAACTGATGATACTAATGTGCAGGATGCCATCCTTAAAGATTTTTCTATGCCGACAACATTTTCATACTCTGAACTCTTATCGGTTAGTAGCTTTTATATGATTTTTTCTTTCAAATTTTTACTAATTATTGATTTGAAATAGGGTGGTAATGGATACCAAGTTGGATTAATTCAACAATCACTACCTTCAAATTTGACCCCATCACCAGATTCTTTCACATTTAATGTGCAAGGTACTTAAAATTTTTATTTAAAATGTTCTTAGTACTTTTATATCTTTTTGGGCATGCAGTAATGTGTTTCTTTGTAAAACAAACAGATAGTACTACAAACTACTATCATCCACAAGTTGATCAAGATATTGGCAAGGGATTGTGAACGCTTTCTCAATGAGGAGAAACTCATATTCTTCAATATCATGAAAAATTATATATTGTTGCTTGTGTTACCAAACTTATGGGAACAAATTTCATTTTGATCAAAAGTTGGATATCTATGTTTATGTAATAATTATTGATGGTTGATAGTGTCTTTCAATTCATATTTTATGNTTTTTTCTAGATAAACCAATGCAAACTCTGGTTCTATCACCTTGATAGGAGAGAATTACAAGAGTTTAAACTGTGGGACCAAAAGTATAGTGGAATGTATCCCTATGTTTTTTTATTACCTGTAACCATTCTGTAAGCTTTGCCCTGGTAAAATAGCGGGACTGTTCAAAAATTTGAAATTCATTATTTTTTTCTACAAATACGGGAATTTGAAACTTAAAAATGAAAAGATAGTGAAATAAATTTTTAAAAAATTCCTTGATTAGTAAGTCAACATCTTAAAATCAAAAAGTCAACCTACTATTTATGAATTTACCATCAACCTCTTTCAATATACTAGTACGTACCCCGTGCGATGAACTAAATTAGTTATTTTTACAGGCTTTGTCCGTTTAAGTATATAAAGCAATAGGGTTACCATCTATTTTTCACCTCTTTTAATGAGTGTTATAAAGAATAAGATTCCAATCTATTTTTTGCACCTCTTTTAATCAGTGTTACTTTTTTAGTCAAAACATTAAATATGAGCATGGTAGGGCTAGCATGTAAAATAATTAATATATTATCTCACTAACACATTTATACTAATATAAATTTAATTTTAGTATATATATTTATTCCTTGATATAAGAGAAAATAACAATTTTACTTATTCTTGTTCACCATATAATGTCATTATTATTAAATTATTATTTTATTATAAACTTTGTTGTCATATAATGTCATTATTATTTATAAAGTTATAGAAATTGTACGTCTTCCTTTTTTTTATGTAATGAAAAATATTTAATTCATGTTAGTATTATTTATTTATGTAATCAATTTAAAATATGTAAATAAATTTAAAATTAAATAGTGTATAAATATTTTACAAAATATACACATGTTTTTTTAGAATTCAATTTTGTATACTAATTAAACAACTTTGATTTAGAAAATGCCAAAAACTCAATCCCTTCTATGATCAAGATTTTTCTAATTCGCATTATAAGCATTTATAGTTTATTTAGCATTCTCTGCAATGAAAATATATTTTACAAGAATTTAATTATAGAAATAAATCAAAATAAAAAAATTAAAAAAAATAATCATGGGCGCCAATAATATACAAATAAATTCTAAAAAATAGTTAATATATTTTAATTTTAATTTTTTACAATTAGTGAAACTATTTAATGTATCTGGTCATTATCTGTTAAATAGTAAATTATATTAATTTGAAGAACAATTTATTTTTTATATTTAACAAAATAAAGCTTAAGAAAAAAATATATTGGCAAAGATTAATTCACCAATTTGATTTTGTCTGATTACTTGGAAAAAAAATTCTACCTAACCTGTTACGAATCTCCATAAATATTTTTGGATACAAAGTGAATATTTGTGAAAAAAAATTAATATTATGGTTAGAACTTAAAATATGGTGTAATATTTATTTTGACCAAAATATTATCAACATGGATCATGGAAATCAGTCTTTTAATTAATTATAATGAATATCAATGAAAGTATTACAAATATTAATAAAATAATATTTATCTTGACCAAATTATTATCAATATGAATCACGAAAAATCAATCTTGTAATTTATTATAATAACTATCAATGAAAATAATTCAGATATTAATAAATTTATTTAAGTAATTTTTTGATCATATCTTATTTGATCTTATTTGAAAACGTGTATATAGAATCAATTAATGCATATATTTAAAAAGTTAATAAATTTATTTACGTAATCTTTTGATCATATCTTATTTGATCTTATTTGAAAACGTGGATATAGAAACAATTAATGCTTATATTTAAAAAATTTCCAAAAATAGTTATGCATTAAATGTTTCCTAAATTTTTTGCTACTATTTTTAGTAAATGATAATTCTTATTATATATACTAGTGCGTGGCCCGTGTGATGCACGGAAAAACAATATTACGATTATATTATAAATTATATATATAAATAACATTAATCATGATTTATCTATTGTTTTTAACTTAAAATGGATTGAACACAGTCTGACCAAATGGACCGAGAACCGGTTTATAACCAGTCTAGTTCCCTTGAATAAAATATTTGCTATCAAGTCCGTCAACACCAGTCGATTGGACTGATAGGTTTGATAGGACCGATACGATTTTTCAAATAAATTTTGTTACACTTAAAATTATTATAAATAAAATTACATATTTAAATAAAATATAGATATATAAATTATTCATCAATTAGTTTAAACATTTTAATTTATAAATTGTTTAGATATTAAGTAACACATTTTATTTAATTTATTACAAAAAGTACTGTATATATATGGGAATATAAAATTTGTATGTTTAAAATATTAAAACTCATAGAATATTATTTTAATGTATGTCAAAGTATCTAAAATTTTCTATATTATTATTATAAGAAAACATGTATAAAAAATTAAATGTCACATTTATATGAAAGACATTTTCTAAACTTTTTTTTGTAAAGAAAACATGCCTAAAAATATTTAAATTTAATATGTATATGTATATGTATATATAGATAGAATATGATATAATAAAATATTATATAAAAGTATGTAAAATATTATAAGCCTAAATAGAGACATTATAAATTTTTGAGAGAAAATTTTCCTTGTATATATAAAATAAATATTGAGATGATGACCACAATGTGTAGATGTGTAGATAATATGCTCGTGTTTTAATAGATAACCACAATGTGTAGATGTGTAGATAATATATTTTGTTATGATCTTATCCCATATATAATATTTATATTCAATGAGGGATATTGAATTTAAATTTCAACTTCGAAATTTTACTATCTTTTATATGCGATTATTTATTCTGCCCGATTTTATGGCAATCGAATTGCAAGAAATTTAAAATTTAAATTATCAATTAAATATTGCATCCAATTTTCATTGCAATTAGTTTTTTTAATATAAAAGGAGAAGATATAAAGTTTGTTACTATGCCTGATTTTTTAATATGACCGATTTTTAATATTTAATTATATAAAATAAGATATGATATATAATCTAAAAACTGTTGCAATTAGTATAATAATATTTAATTTTGAGGTAGTTTATTTATATAAAAAGACTCTAATACTATTTTTCCTAATTAAAAATATTCATTCGATTTTATGCCAACAAAAAATTAAGAAATTGTAGAATTTTAGTTTTAAATTCGAAATGAGAGTTGATTTACAATGCAATGGTTTTTTTTTTTTACAATGCAATTGGTTTTTTTCGAATAAAAAATGAGTCAACTTTTGCATGTTTATCCACTCCTGCAAATTAGATGCACAAAAATAGAGGCCATTTAAGGCCAACCGATTTTTTGGGGAGTGAATTAAAACGTAAAATAAAAAAATTAGCTAAAAATAATATGCAATTAATATGAGTTGATTTTTTCTTGTTACTATTTATGGTAAATGTTAATTCTTATTATATATATATATAGATATATAGATAATAAAGTTACATGTATGATCTAAAATAAAAAAATTTAGTTGGACACGGCCCAATTTTCCCAACCGGCACATTACATATACTGATATACATAGAGGTTGAGGATTTGACACTTTATATGCTGTAACTTTCTCAGTTTGTTTGTTTGTTTGTTTGCTCATCCTTTATTTCTAGTCCTCTTTACAAATTACAGGCAGTGTCATGAATGCACGAATTTCTATGTTTGTTTGAGCGTTGAAATCGGGAGCCCCAGAGTGTGTGTGTGTGTGTGTCGTCCTCCCTTTTTGTCAATGGTTTTGAATTTTGATGGTATTAGTTGTGATTAGTGATTAGCAGTTTGTTGTTTGTATCTAACAAAGGGAATCAAATTAAAAGTTGGAGCCAACAACGCCACTTTCTATATATATAAACTATTAATTAATTAATCTCCGCTGCAGAGAAATACATTGTCAATTTGTCATTCTTTATCCTGTCATTCGTTCTTACGTCATATAAAACAATCTAATAAATTATTTTATACTGAAAAAACATATTATTTGCGGAGAGGAATCAAATTTTGGATGTACAAAATATAATAGAATTAAATATGATAAAATACTGTTTACTATAATTTTTTATATTTCTTACGTCATATAAAATAATCTAATGTTTGATTAATAATTACTCTCCAGTTGCAACCACCAATATGTTATATAAATGAAGAAAAGGAGGTTATATAATATCACGATTATTTCTTGTTTGTCGATCTTGAAACTTTGTCCTGCTCGAGAATTCAGAAGGTTATTAGCTAAATAATTGAAGGTGGAATTCTAACGAAAATTTAATGAGAACGTATCAAGATTCAAGAAAATATGAGGTGGTGTAAGGGGGGTCCACAATATTTATTATGACATTTACCCTCTGTCACGGGGTATTGAGCTCAATTTCAATTTTTTGCTAGTGATAGGTCGCATCTAATTAATTGAGACGACATATATATGTCAGAATGTGAAATGTTTAATATATGTTTCACCTTTTGCTGTTTCCCGTGTATTACATAAGGTGGTACTATTTATCCCCATTTTACATTTTACTAATCACCGCTCCCTTTGGATGATTTTGTCATTTTTATTTTTTCTAAACATCTCAGAAGAAAGTGTACGGTGAAATGTCGTCAAATTCGGAGGTACGAAAATTTTTGTGTCCGGCCGCCGGAACCAGACAGCTTTTAGGCCGTCCGACCGCCGGAACCGGACAGATTTTAAGCCGTCCGGCCGGCTGGTTCGGACGGGTTAAAAGCCGTCCGAAAAGTTCGGCCGGCCGGACGGCTTAAAAGCTGTTCGGCGGCGACGGCCGGTCGGAACCAGTCAGTCCGGTTCGGCCGGCTGGATAATTTTTTTTTTTGTTTTTTAAATTATTATGTTATATATTCGAAATAATTATGTTATAAATTGGACTATATTATTATGTTACATTTTAGACTTAATTATGCTACAAATTGGACGTTAAATATTATCGTGTTAGGAGTTACAAATTATTATGTTACATGTTGATTATGGTATAAATTGGACATTAAATATTATCGTGTTACGGGTTAGAAATTATTATATTACATGTTAGTCTTGGTTATGTTATAAATTGACGTTAGATAGTATCGTGTTAGGAGTTACAAATTATTATG